CCAGCTTTTGGGACAACATGTCCCAGCAGGCTTTGAGCTAACATGTATGCATAACCCATCAGTGGCTCTGAGGAAGAGGCTAGTCCTTGAAACGCGTCAGCCATTTTGGATGTCCATCATTCTCATCACCATTCAGAAACGCAGTGCGAATTGGACAGAGCAGTCTTATATGATGTACTTATATTCATGTACTTTTGTGAGTAGAATACCTTCTTTTAAATTTAATAAACATACTTTTAAAGGTAATGCACAAGGCCGGTGCGTCCTCTGTTTTGTTTTTCTCTATTAGTACTTTTGGACTCCCTGGTTCTTTGAGGGCAGCAAGGTGTGCATATTCTAAGACATTTGTTGTGTGATCCCTATGACATAGAGTCCATCCCTAAGCGCAGGAGTATTTGGGTTTTCCACTTTTACATCACTCGTAAACATAGGCGGACATGGGACGATCACACACCCTGTCAGCTGAAGAAAACACCTCTCTGCTCGTCCTCTGACATGTCCATACTCTGCCTGAAAAGCCTAAGCCCTCGTTCACACCAGTGTGCAGAGACGTTAGTTTTTCTACATGGGTTCTGTAAGGGCACAATGAAATCAATTGTTTTCTATGTGCCCTGTTCACACCACAACACTAGTATCACATGCAGATTTTTTCTGCTCAGGAATCTGCAACGTATTAAACTCATTGCAGCGTGCATGAAAACTGATGCATTTGCAAGTGAATATGGTTCTAAAGCCTTAAGGTTTTTCACCTAAATGCATTCTATGCATGAAGGTAAAAAATCTTCTGTGTTGTAGCTCCCCTCCCAGCTCCTCCCGCCCCCCCCCCCCCCTTTTTTTTCTTACCTGAGCCTAATCCAATCAGCTGATATGCATGAGAGTAGTGGCTCTAGCTGCTGTCTCCCTCCTCATTGGGCAGTTTGATAGCAGCGGGAGCCATTGGTGCCCACTGCTGTCAATCAAATGCTGTGACACAGGACCAAGCCATCCATTCTGTGTCAATGTACGCTCTGTGTCAGTGCCCCAATGAAAAGCAGCTTTACGTGGGGGCACCCACCGAAGAGGAGGGACCTAGAGCGCAGGCAGGGGACCCAAGAAGAGGAGGATTGGGGCTGCTCTGTGCAAAAGCATTACACAAAGCAGGTAAGTATAAATGTTTGTTATTCTAAAGGTTTAATATCACTTGAAATCTGCGCATCGGTTTTTTCTGCACATACGGTGTAAACGAGGCCTTAGAGAGAAGGCAATGCAGAGGTAGAGCTTCTGTTACTAACACTTGTGCAGCATTGCCAAATTTCAGCCTTGCCATTTTCAACAGTATCTTATAATACTAGAAGTCTGTTGCAGTATGCTGAAGTTTCATGTAAGCAAGCAGCCTTTTGTAACATGAAGCAATCTCTTTTTAACAGACAAAAGTTGGCCCTCTAGAGACTATGTGCTACTTATATAGTATGTGTATACATCTGTTTAACATAAGGTTTTTTTTTTTCTTTAAATACAGTTTTTTGTAAATTGGCTTTTCCTTTTTTCTTATTCATGCTAGTGGGCTACAATGAAATGGTGCCTTCTCCCGCAGTTTCCTCCTGTTTCTGGTTTTCTATTTACTAATACAAACTCTTTTTGTTTCTGACAGTTCTATGACATTCCCTCCATACAGCGGTTTTCAACCGCTGTATGGAGTGAATGTCCCAGAACTGTCATAAATAGTCTATTTCTGACAGTTATGGAACATTCACTCCATACAGCGGTTGAAACATTGTATCTATTTTTTTTCCATAAATGACATTCTGCAGATACACTTAGAGGAGCACTGCAGATACACTTTTTGCCGGCTTGGAATTATTCTTATTTTCATCCTACTTCTTCTTCTTCATCCTCATCCTCTTCTTCTTCTTATGAGGATGAGGATGAAGAAGAAGAAGAAGAAGTAGGATGAAAAATAAGATTAATTCCAAGCTGGCAAAAAGTGTATCTGCAGCGCTCCTCTAAGTGTATCTGCAGAATGTCATTTATGGAAACAAATAGATACAATGTTTCAACCACTGTATGAGTGAGTGTCCCAGAACTGTCATAAATAGTTCTATTTCTGACAGTTCTATGACAATTCTCCCTCCATACAGCGGTTTCAACCGCTGTATGGAGTGAATGTCCCAGAACTGTCATAAATAGTCTATTTCTGACAGTTATGGGACATTCACTCCATACAGCGGTTTTCAACCGCTGTATGGAGGGAATGTCATAGAACTGTCAGAAATAGACTATTTATGACAGTTCTGGGACATTCCTTCCATACAGCGGTTGAAACATTGTATCTATTAGTTTCCATTTAGGATACAGATGTTTCAACCGCTGTAACATGTGAAGAAGCTGTCAGAGAACTGGTCAGAAATAGAGGAACTCTGCACATACACTTTTTGCCGGCTTGGAATTAATTCTTATTTTCATCCTACTTCTTCTTCTTCTTCTTCTTCATCCCTCATCCTCTTCTTCTGAGGATGAGGATGAGGATGAAGAAGAAGAAGAAGAAGAAGAAGTAGGATGAAAATAAGAATAATTCCAAGCCGGGCAAAAAGTGTATGTGCAGAGTTCCTCTATATTGTAAATTTGCACCCTGAAAATCCCACACTATCTAGTTCAACATTTTCAAATTCTAACGGTGTGGTGCGATTTATATATCTTGTCACTCACTCGCCACTTCTTGACAATTATAGATAAAGGTTTTGTGCGGGGTTGTGGGTGTTAACCAGTAGTAGTACATACCACCAGAGTTTTTATATTAGGGTTGTTGATTGCTGGTATGTGTCAGGTGTAGGTTTACTGAAGCAAACAGCAAAAAAGGGGTGATGTGAAAAGGGATTCACAAGAAAAGCGGTTACATCATGAACAGAAAGCGATACCCAAAAATTTCTAAAAAATTATGCTTTATTGCAAACAATGCATATATTAGACATTTAGGTAAATACCCCAGCCATCACCACAAGATGAGACAATACCAAAAAAATTACCTAAAATCAAAAATTATTAAAAGCAAGAAGTCATGACCGGTCATGAATATAATTGGTGGTGTAAATGTAATGACACTAGGTCTAGTACATATGCAGCACAGACATATAGGTAACACCACCATACAGGGGATGTTATCAACAAATTATCACCATTATAGGCTATACATCAAACATGCAATACTGTAAACATTGGTACCAGTATAAAATGGGTTAAGGAACCCGATAAAATTTGAAAAATCCAGCTTAGGGCAAGAATCAAAGAGAGACATATGCAATACAAAATGAGATTGCTTATATAGGCACCAGAACCTGATGCTATATTGTGTTGCCACACACTTGAGAACAATGATTATACAAAAATTGGCACTTGTAGCCGGGATGAGTAGTTGTGATCTAATAGATAGTCATGTCCAAAATAATACTGTAAAATATACTTAGTGACAGTGGAAATTTCTCCATATGACATCCATCATCAGTAGTTGAAACGGCAAGACCCTGCCAATATAATGTAGGGATTCCTCACCGCCAGCATGTGGCCTAGATACCTCCCTTGTTATATATCTGTTGTGTAGATTGTAGGAGTATCCATGCCGTATAATGAAAGTAGGGTGCTGTGCACCTTTCTCCAAGTGTAGCATGATGTCACCATCCTGTAGTGAGTAAGTGACATAAAAGATAGTCAATATAGTTTTCACTAAGTATATCAAATACTGACGGCCATGAGGTCGTACTTCCTTTCTTGTATTTGCAGTATTCCACTCACCACCCGTTCAATGAATAAATGGCAATGCATGATCTCTCTCATATATAGATTCAGGCCCGGAGTCCTGGAGGCAGCCGCCAGCATTGGGACTGTGGACAAAAGGGCTCCGCTTCCATCCTGGTACACGTGCAGCCTGATGGACGCCCAGCACAGGCGTATGTATCCTTGTCCCCTGCATGACTGGGTGTATGGCCCAATGCGTCTGACCGGTAGTGACGTCACTGACGTGTGATGTCAACGCGTTTCGCCGATGGGTGTATCTTACTCAGCTTCGTCAGGACCAATGAGATGCATAGCTCAAAGCTCCATTTACATTAGGTGAATCCCCGCCCATATATATAAATGCACTGCAGGACAAGCATCTCATTGGAAAATGAAATGAAAAAAGCGGTCATTATAGAAAAACCTATGAATACCAGGCAATAATCACAGTGGGAAACATAGTAATTCTATACTTCAACAATACCAATAGAGGAAACTAATTCAGGAATACTCTATTCACAGAGGTGAAAATACCATATAATCAATATAATTTCTCATACTACCCTATTTATGCAAAAACACTTGGAGATCAAGTTCAACATTTAACCCCTTAGGGAATACGGTGTCAAGCCTATGTATCCAGTGCTTTACACGTTTTAGAAGCTCCTTATCAAAATCACCCCTTCTCTGCGGGAAATTAAGTGCATAGATTTCTTTAACCTTAGCACCTTCTAATTTACCTTCATGGTACTTTGGATAGTGTTGAGCTAAATTACTCTTGGGTTCATTAGATTTAATGTCCCTGTCAGGGATCGCGGCTCCGGAGTCCTGTGTCACGACGCCGTCCCCCGCGCATGCGCACTGGCGGCGGATCGTGCCGGGACACGGGCACTAGGTCCCCGGCGAGCCGCGGCTGACAGGGAGCCACGCATGCGCAGTAGAGAGAGCCGCGGGCGCGCCTCAGGCGTCCAATGACAGCCGGGGGCGCGTCCTAGCCAGCCAATGACAGTGCAGGGGCGCACTATTTAAAGATGCCCTGCACTGTCACCAATTGCCGCAAGGTCTTCCTGTGATCCTGAGTTCCTGCACCCGTTTTGTGACCCTGTTTTTGACCCTGACTACGCTGCCTGCCCCTGTGATTGACCCGGCTTGCCCTGACTATTCTACCCGCTCCTGTGATTGACCTGGCTTGTCCTGACTATTCTGCCCGCTCCTGTGTTTTGACTCGGATTATCCTGACTATTCTACGGACTGATTTACCTGGCTGACCCTGCATGTGACCCGACTACTCCTTGCCTGCCGATTCGGTACCCCGCTTACCCCCACGGGACCACTATCCGTACCACCCTGCTGGGGCCGCCATCCTCTTCATATCTGGCTCTCCCAGTACCTACACACATCCCCGGAGGCCTCCTCAGCCGCTAGTGGGCCCGCTCAGAGGTCGTGACCTGGCCCGGGACTGTTTCAAGTCCATCCCCACCATCAGGGGCCCTGGTGAAGGCACAGCCCGGGCTTAGAGACCCCACGCTCTGGGTTGGTCTGTCAGTTGGGAGCTGGAAGGCTCCGCCTGGCGGATCATAACAGTACCTTGCGGCCATGACAGAGCCAGGAAGTGGACCGGCGTCCCTAGAGGATATTTGCCAGCACCTGGCAACTTTGACCCAGGCTTTCAGAACTTCCACAGTCGCTGCGCCCGACTGGAAGACCGCATGGAGACGTTAGCCCCCCAGACTCCCCCTGCTCAGAGTTCTCCATCTGTGGAACCTCCCGCTACCCCGGCATCCGGAGCGGTTGCCACACCCTCAGCTCCTGAGCCCCGCGTTCCCCTGCCGGAACGGTTCCGTGGTGACCGGAGCCGCTTCCGAGCCTTCCGAAACGCTTGCACCCTGTATTTTGACTTGCAGCCCCGCACGTTCTCCACCGAGACCGTCAAGGTGGGGTTTTATAGTCTCTCTCCTTCAGAATGAGCCCCAGGATTGGGCTCACCGTCTGATGGAGAGGCGCGACCCCCAGCTTGACTCCATGACCGAGTTCTTTCAGGCCATGGCAGTATTGTATGACGACCCTCAGCGGGCTGCCTCCGCAGAGGCTACCCTATACTCTCTGCGGCAAGGCCGCCGGGCACCGAAGAATACGCATCCGATTTTAGGCGATGCATGGGAGACACCAGATGGAACGATGCGGCCTTATGTCACCAGTTCCGCATCGGACTGTCTGAATCTCTCAAGGACGAACTTGCACGAGTAGGCCTACCTGACTCCCTGGAAAAACTGATTGAGTTGGGCCATCCAGATTGACCGTAGGTTAAGGGAACGTCGGCTGGAAAGGAGCAGCCAGGGTCAAAGGGTGGCATGGATCCCACCAAGAGACACAGCTCCAACCCCAGGGAACCATCCCCGAAGCACGGAATCGGGGGACAACCCGGAACCCATGCAACTGGGACTGGCCCGTTCCCACTTATCGGTCGAGGAACGTCAAAGGAGACGATCGCTGAACCTATGCCTGTACTGCGGGGAAGCTGGTCATCAGGTGCGCTCCTGTCCTGCAAAAATGAGTAAGTCCGCTTCCTTTTCTTTTACCTTACCTGCAGGAAGGGATGATCAGTCAAATTACCTGGCCATACCTGTGTCTTTACAGCTCCCGGGAAGAACACTGTCGGTGACCGCAATCGTTGACTCAGGAGCTTGTAGTTATTTATCGACCTGACTTTTGCCCACCGGCAAAAAATACCACTTCAGACCAAAGAAAGGGGGTTCAACATCTTCTTGGCAGACGGGTCCAGTATAAAATCAGGGGTGGTGGACCAGGAGACACCACCCATTTTCACCACAATGGCAGACCATCACCAGGAGTTCCTCCGTTTGGATGCCATCGCATCTCCCCTATTTCCAGTCATTCTGGGGCTCCCTTGGCTGCGGGCCCATAACCCCCAGATTGACTGGGAAAGGGGAACGATTCAATTTAGGTCACCTTACTGTTTGAATCACTGCCACGTCGCAGGATCCGTGGGTCCCCGGTTCCTCCTGTGCGTGGATGGCGATGCCAATCTATCCCAGACTATTCCCCGGCCTACCATGACTTCTTAGACGTTTTCAGTAAGCGAGGAGCTGACGTTCTTCCCCCGCACTGTTCATACGATTGCCCCATAGACCTCCTACCCGGATCTGAAATCTCATTCGGCCGTATCTTTCCTTTGTCAGAAACGGAATCGGGAGTACTGAGGGAATATATTGACGAGAACCTTAGGAAGGGATTTATTCGTCCATCCACATCCCCAGCCGGGGCCCGGGTTGTTCTTCGTAGAGAAGAAGGACAAATCATTACGGCCCTGCATAGACTACCGTGATCTGAACAAGATAACGGTAAAAAATCGTTATCCCTTACCACTAGTCCCCCGAGCTCCTCCAGAGATTAAGATCAGCAATGATATTTACTAAACTAGACCTGCGGGGGGCCTATAACCTTGTCCGTATCAGGGAGGGGGATGAGTGGAAGACGGCCTTCCGTACGAGATTCGGTCACTATGAATATTTAGTGATGCCGTTCAGGCTCTGTAATGCACCGGCAACTTTCCAGCATTTTATCAACGATGTTTTTCGTGATTTCCTCAATGTTTTTGTGGTGGTTTATTTGGATGACATCCTAATTTTCTCCCCTTCACTGGAGGTTCATCGAGGTCACGTATTACGGGTATTAGAACGGTTGCGTCAACACGGGCTATACGCCAAGGCAGAAAAGTGCTGTTTCGAGCAGCGCAAAATCACGTTCTTGGGACTGGTTCTCTCTTCCGCGGGGGTCGCGATGGATCCCCAGAAGGTCACGGCGATCTTAGATTGGCCAATACCCGCCGATAAAAAGGGGGTACAGCGTTTCATCGGCTTTTCCAACTTTTATAGAAAGTTTGTTAGGAACTTCTCCGGTCTGGTCTCCCCGATCACGCAACTGACGAAACAAGGGGTCCGCTTTAAGTGGACTCCCGAAAGCTCAGACGGCATTCGAGAAGCTCAAGAAATTGTTCACTTCTGCTCCCATTCTCTGCCACCCGGATTCTTCTCTCCCATATGTCTTGGAAGTGGACGCCTCCGAGAACGCGGTAGGAGCGGTTCTGTCCCAAAGAAATGGAACCAAGGAACTACTGCACCCCGTGGCGTTCTTCTCCAGGAAGTTGACACCGGCAGAACGTAACTATGATATTGGAGATCGGGAGCTCCTGGCCATCAAATCCGCTCTAGAAGAATGGAGGTACTTACTGGAAGGAGCCACACACCCAATCCTAATATTCGCAGATCACAAAAACCTTGAATATTTAAGAACAGCAAGACGACTGAGACCTCGCCAGGCAAGATGGGCTCTTTTCTTCTCGCGATTCACATTCCATATAACGTACCGACCCGGTACTAAGAACACAAAACCAGACGCTCTGTCCCGCATGTTTTGAGGACCCCGACGACGCAGTGGTACCTGACACCATCTTACCTTCCGGAAGTTTTCCTCGCTCTACAAACGGAACTTTGTTCCAGACTTCTCGACGCTTCTATAGGACTACCAGTTCCGTCTGGGTCACCCCTCCTGAACCACGGTGGGCTGTTTTGGAAAGAAGACCGGATCATGGTCCCAGAAGAAGTGCGAACCTTGGTCCTAGGGCACTGCCACGACCATCAAAATGGCAGGTCACTTCGGGGTTGCGAAAACTCTGGAACTACAACGGCGCTCGTTCTGGTGGCCGAACATGAATAAGGACTGCGAGCGTTACGTCCAGACCTGCTCCACCTGTCAAAGGAACAAGCCCTCCAGGAGCCGGGCATGGGGATTGTTACGTCCATTACCAATACCCAAGCGGGCCTGGCAAATGATAGCCATGGATTTTGTGGTCGAACTCCCACCATCCCAAGGCTACACAGCAATAATGGTGGTCGTGGACCGCTTCTCAAAGATGGCACATTTTATACCCCTGGAGAAGACCCCATCGGCACCAGAAACGGCACGAATCTTCATTAAGGAAGTAGTGAGGCTTCATGGGGTTCCCGAAGATATAGTGTCAGATCGGGGAGTCCAATTCACCTCCAGGTTCTGGAACGCCTTGTGTAAGGCACTGGGAATCAAGCTGTCGCTTTCATCCGCCTACCATCCACAGACCAACGGCCAAACCGAGAGGACCAACCAAACGCTGGAGCAATACTTACGATGTTACACGTCCTACCTTCAGGATGACTGGCTGACGTTGTTGCCGTCCGCAGAATTCTCGTACAACAACTCAAGTCACTCAGCGACGGGGCGATCCCCGTTCTTCTCCAATTACGGGTATCATCCCACATTTCTCCCTGATCTGATGCCTGAAAATCTGGTACCGGCGTCTCAAGACGTCTTGAACTTCTTTTCTGTCAATAACAAAACAATTCAGGAAGCCATCGCTAAAGCCCAAGAGGACAGTAAGAGGGCGTTCGACAGGAAAAGAAGAGGAGAATTACTGCTTCAACCAGTCGATCAGGTGTGGCTGGCAACGACCAACTTGAAGATGCTGTGTCCTTCAAGGAAGCTGGGACCCAAGTACATTGGCCCATTTCCGGTAAAGCGTGTAGTCAACAAGGTGGCCTACGAACTTGAGCTTCCGCGGACCTTCAAGATACATCCTGTGTTCCATGTATCTCTCCTGAAGCCATCCAGACCGGATTCCTTCCCGGACCGTGAATCCAGACCTCCCGAGGCAGTCACCATAGGTGACCAGGAGGAATACGAAGTGGAGACTATCCTCAGTTGCCGAAAGAGGGGGGGCCAGACACAGTTCCTGATAAAATGGAAGGGTTATGGCCCTGAGGAGAACTCATGGGAACCCGCCCAGAACATTCACGCACCCAGGCTCATCCGGGAGTTTTTTCGTGGTCACCCGCGGTGGAGAGATCAGTGGGGCTCCCGGAGGGTGCCCATTGGGGGGGGGCAATGTCAGGGATCGCGGCTCCGGAGTCCTGTGTCACGACGCCGTCCCCCCCGCGCATGCGCACTGGCGGCAGATCGCGCCGGGACACGGGCACTAGGTCCCGGCGAGCCGCGGCTGACAGGGAGCCGCGCATGCGCAGTAGAGAGCCGCGGGCGCGCCTCAGGCGTCCAATGACAGCCGGGGGCGCGTCCTAGCCAGCCAATGACAGTGCAGGGCGCACTATTTAAAGATGCCCTGCACTGTCACCAATTGCCGCAAGGTCTTCCTGTGATCCTGAGTTCCTGCACCCGTTTTGTGACCCTGTTTTTGACCCTGACTACGCTGCCTGCCCCTGTGATTGACCCAGCTTGCCCTGACTATTCTACCCGCTCCTGTGATTGACCCGGCTTGTCCTGACTATTCTGCCCGCTCCTGTGTTTTGACTCGGATTATCCTGACTATTTTACGGACTGATTTACCTGGCTGACCCTGCATGTGACCCGACTACTCCTTGCCCGCCGATTCGGTACCCCCCGCTTACCCCCACGGGACCACTATCCGTACCACCCTGCTGGGGCCGCCATCCTCTTCATATCTGGCTCTCCCGGTACCTACACACATCCCCGGAGGCCTCCTCAGCCGCTGGTGGGCCCGCTCAGAGGTCGTGACCTGGCCCGGGACTGTTTCAAGTCCATCCCCACCATCAGGGGCCCTGGTGAAGGCACAGCCCGGGCTTAGACCCCACGCTCTGGGTTGGTCTGTCAGTTGGCAGCTGGAAGGCTCCGCCTGGCGGATCATAACAGTCCCGTAAGTGTTCACCTATACGTACTTTAAGCTTATGTGAAGAATCTAAATGCTGGCCTAGCCTGACCAATATGTTGCTCGGGTGACTAAAACTGAACAAGGCAAAAAAAGAAACTACAAGATGAGATTATGAAATACAGTGTTGTTTCAAACATGCATCATGTCTTATGTGAAATATATTGCTTATCTAATAACTGTCCAGTCTTATTCTGTATCATTCTACATTCATTGAAATGTTCGCACAGATCCACATGTTCTACTCACAACTATTGTAGAAAAACAGCCAAGGAATGTGTTTTTTAGGAAAACAGTCTTTGGGTTGAACTTGGGCCATTACTTGGCAAACCAAGCTGTTTAATTGTGCTTGAGTTTTTGTTAGAAATGAATATGAGTGTAATGTTTAAACCAGTGGGAAATGTTCCCATGGAGCTGTAAGATTAAAAGGAAGTAATATTACTTAGTTCTGTACATCTGTAAATAGCTATACGAAGAATGGAAAGTGAGGAGGAAACAATGACTGGATCCAAAAGTGTTTTCATAAATCTGTATTAACTTAGTCACTGAAGAATACTACGGATATTTAGTCCACTGAGTACTTATATTTAAAGGAAGTAGGTAACAGACTTAGATTTTTGGAAAGGCCACATACACCTGGTTCTAGATTTCTGTCCCTTTTTTTCATTATCCTTCATTAATCTAAAGGGAAGCTGTTATGGTGTTTTGTAAATTTCATTTACATTTTTTGGTAATGTTTTGTGTTATTTTATTGTTTGTTAGAAATGTTTATTTTTCAAATAAAATATGAATACAGCATATGTAAACACATGAAACTGGTGTTACAGAGCATTTGTGGTTTTCTACAGAGAAAACACAGAAGAAGCCGTTTTTTTTTCGGAACCTCTCTAACTAAAACTCTATGTCACTCCATAATAACAAAACAGGCAAGGGGGTGGAGAGAGGGTTGAGTCACTTCTCTGACTAAGTTGTGTGTTTATTATAGAACATTAGCTACTGATCTCTCTTAATAATATTCTAACTTAAGCTTCTAACATGACCCTGATAACTAATCATTAGAGAAAACCAGAAATGTACCTTCCACTATCATGTTCACAAATATTTAATTCAAGCTGGCATTAAGTGAACTAGTAAAGAGGTCTACTGTACCAGACACTAGTTCCAGACCATTACGGTCTATTCTGACTCCAACTGTTGTATTAGTGACTTATCCATTGTTGAGACCTTTATGCCTTGCATGTATAAGCAGATGCAATCATTGCGGACAGTCTTTATCAGATAGTTGAACTCACCAAACACCCTTTTCTCATTCAAGGAGATCCTAACTGCATGCAGCAGGTACAGCAGATAACAAGATGTAGCAGATGATTGACTAGACAGTATTTGCAGGTCAAAACATGGTAATGTGTTCCTGGATGTGAGCACATTACATGTGGTCTACAGACTAGCAGCCATATTCATCCCAATAAAGACAGAGTGAAAAGGAAAAGGAAATACATCACAGTGGGAGGGAACACAGGATGGAAGACAGAAAAAGATGGTGCAATAACCAAATGACCACAAGATAGCAGTATATCAACCAACTATATTGGGGTCAATAAACAATAGCTTAGGAAAAATAACTATGTAAATTCTCAATTTACAGTAATATGAACATTAACCATGACTATTCATTGTGTTATATTTTCATGCAACAAGTGTAACAACACAGGGTCCATGCAGAGTAGTGCACATCATCCTCCAGCACCTTCAGGAAATCTCCATTCCATTTGAGTATAGGTTGGTTTCATGCCCCTCACTGGTGCCCGCCAAGCACTGGTAGTATAATCACACTTACATCTGCAAAGGGCATTATAGTGCAAAAATCCAATCCTCTCATCATGACATCTCTGCCTTAAGGAGAAAAAACTCTATTGGATATCTGATGTTTTCATCTAAAAATGGTTTGCTCCAACCAGTAAGCTCTGAACTATTAAAACCTTCAAGGTTTAATTTTGTATTTCAATGTTTTTATTCATTTATAAACAGTTTAAGACAGGAGCAACAAAACACGCCCACACAGGGGCTATCAATTGCACATAAAAAATTTTTAAAAAAACAGTGCTCTAACACCAACAGAGCAAAAGGTGCGCCCCGCAGGGGCTATCAATGGCACATAAATGACAAAAAACATTGGTATAACACTGACAGCAACAGTAACTCAAACCAAAGGCAGCTATCCACTGTCACACCAAAAACAAACAAAAAAAGAAAAGGAAGGAGGAGTACAAAAGGAAAAAGATAACAAGACCAAGAGCAGGGGTCCGGGAACGCCAATACCGAGCAACATCACAACTCCAGACTAGCCGGGGGTTGCGTGAGAAAGGCATATTGCAGCCACGGCTCCCATATTTTCAAGAATTGCCGTTGGGAGTCATTACAGATACTCGACATCTGTTCATTGAGCATCCCAGTGGTCATACGGTCCCGCACCCCTTGAAGAGGAACAAACGGACTCTTCCATGCCTGAGAAATTGTTCTAGTGGCCGACAAAAACAAAGAGGAAGCCAACTTCTGCTGGTGAGCCAAGAAGCAAGGTTTAATTTTGAAGCAGTTATGAATGTGATGATATGATGTGGCCTACTGCAAATTTAAAACAAAATCCTTACATATGTTTTGGTCCACAAGATAAAGCACTTTAAATGAATGGAAAGACTGATAGGATGTTGGCCCAATATGCCCACAAATATTACACAAATAATACAAAATCAAGTTTTTCAATAAAATAGACCAGCTGGCATTCCAGAACTATTTTGCCAAAAGCTAGCCCTGAATGTCTGATTTTAGAGGGCATGCACTCTAGCAGATTATATGAACTATTTTTGAAAAATCCTCCTATTACCACATGAGATCATGGTGATTGCTAAGCTCAGCTCTACATGGTCATGGCATTTCAAGAGGGATCATTTCAGAAAACATTTCTTTCTCCAGCTATAAAAATACAAACTTTGCCATCCCAGATGGAAATTCAACTACTTTGACTTACGAGAAGGAGGTGTATATATACTAGAAGATTTGAGCCTCGCATCTAGTGTGAATATATTGGGAACTGGGAAGTCTTTGGATCTCTAGGTAATCTAGTGTTTGAATCATCTCCACCATTTCAACAGTTAAGGATCTATAGCACAGAACTCATAGTAGAAGAGGCTATATCAAGAGAGCTGTGAACTTTAAGAATTATTATTCGACTTGGTTCAAGGGGACTTCCAATTGCCTCATTATAGTACAGTATGGCACTTACTTTTATCATTTTAAGACAGGTGGCTGTGCTTTGCTGAGCTGCCACATTATGTTCAGACAGCTGTAGATCACAAGGTCTTTAAAAGTGAAATGTGGTGAGAAGCTACTGGTGTCTGTTAGTTGTTCAAACATGCTGTTTTAATTTGTGGTTGCTCTGTTGTGTAGGCTTCAGTAGAGGTCTGATGTTAGCATCACAGTCTCCTGCCCTGGATAAGTATCCACATCTGCACACATCCTGACAAACCTGATACAAATCATAATAGGCTGTGTGGGTGCACAACCTGTTAATCTGCATCACAGTTCAGTATCTCAAAGTGTGCACTTGGCATTTTTTTTAAGTGTTACTAAACCCACAACAGTAAAATCAGTCTGTATATGCAGTAAAGCAAGCTTGTTATACTCACTGTGGAACTTAAGGGGTTAATCCTCTGCATTGTATAAAAAGGAGGTTTAATCCTGCCTTCTATGATACCCCCCTTCTTCTACTGTCCCCAACTCATCTGCTGGGAGAACAGAGCCTTGGGGGCAAGCTGCACTTGCTCAGTTTGGTGTGTATTGCTAGAGAGGTTTTCTTTCCCCTACATTTAGAGAAAAAAAAAAATCACATTACACTGGTTTTAGTTAAAGTGTTACTAAACCCACAACAGTAACATCAGTCTGTATGCAGTAAAGCATGCTTGTTATACTCACTGTGGAACCTAAGGGGTTAATCCTCAGCATTGTGTAAAAACACTGTTTGATCTTGAGTTCTCTGATCCTCCCCTTCTTCCAGTGCCCCCCTTATCCCCTGATAAGACATAGTGTGGAGACACTCTGCACATGCTCAGTTTGATGTGTATTGCTAGAAAAGTTTTTTTTTTTTTCTTGGGAGAGTGCATGTGATCAGCACAGGGCCAATCAGAACTCTCCAGAAAGAGTGCCAGGGGTCCTGCAGTCTCATATGACAGTGAGAGGAGAATGTAAACTCCTACAAGCTTTAACCAGTGCTCGGGCTGAACACTGATAGAAGTCACAAGACTGCTCTCACAGCTGATGAGAAAAGGTATTTAGCAGTTTATATTTACTAAAATAATTGCATTTCCATTTTCTGTGTATTGTGGGGAGACCAGATATAGTGAATGCTGGGTCCTGGGTTTAGTAACACTTTAATTAGTTTTCTATAACCGGAATCTCAATGAAGTAATTTAATTAACTAATGCAGGCTTCAGAGCAATGGGGTAGGGTCATACCATAATGTTTGTCTGTTCACAGTGTATATTGTAGTGTGTTTGCTTGTGCCCTCAATGTGTTTTATGTGCATTTGCTATTTTTTTAAGAGACATTTCTTTTATGCAACATGCTCCAATGCCAAAAAATGCTGCCTGTTTAATTTTTCTCTTGCACAAAAAGTACCTTGCTGGTGTGAACTGACACAACAGAGAAATAAGCTTTCTGCTTTGTTCATGCTGACCTATTCAGCCCAGCACATGTGGTGTGAATGAGTCCCTATCCTTTCTGTAGGGATTTTTAGCCAGATTTCTAGAAGCCACCAAACATGATACATTAGTGGTCTTTGCAAAAAGATGAGATTCGGTATGCTACTTTTAGAGTTAAGATTTTTTTGCATCTAAAAAACTAAGTTAAGGTATCCTTGAACCTCAATGTAATCCTCAAATGTAACCTTTAACCTGAGCTTAAAGCGGAGC